TACCTTAATTTCTGCAAGAACAATTTTCTTTAAACAGTTAAATATAAAGTATTTTCAGAAAAAATGGAAATAAATGCTAACGTTAAGGGCTCCCTGCCTTAAAGAGAAACACTTTACACACATTATCTTATCTGCACTGAGACTAAAAGCCAAAGTACAATAATAGTGCGCTGAAAAACATGATGGAGGATCTTCAAGTTTATTTTCCTTATAGCAACATAGAGAAAAGTCCTAAGAAAAATAAATTTAGACTTAAAATTCAAAGTAGACATATGTTAATGTTAAGACTACTTTTTCATTTCTTTCTCATGAACACCAAACGAGGATTATTCTCAAAAGCATAAACTCACGAACTAAGTACATAGCATCTTTCTAGTTGCAAGCAGCAAAAAAACACAATTGGTAGGCTTGCAATAAACGAGATTTTCCTGAAAGATGCTGGAACAATGTGTTGATCATATTCCACGGCTTCTCTGAAGATAATAACAAAATAGAATTTAAAAAACTCTACCCCATGAAAGTTCTATTCCATCAGAAAAGCAATTAAGCCCAGTTAAAAGGCTTTCTACAAAAAGGCACACAATTGGATCTGGTAGGCTTTTCCCACGTTTTTCCAGCATCTCAATTCTTTTGGAGCCAGAACCATTCAACCCATACTTTACAGTGAAAAAAGTAGTTCCCCCTCTTCACATATAAATGAACGCAAGGTCAAAGACAATGTTTCTTATGCAAAGATCCCTTTTAAAACTATATTAAAAAATGTAATGAGGTTGCACTTTAGACAATTCAATAATTCACCATGACTTTCAGAACTGAAGCATCACAGTAAACTTTCTGTTTTAATATAAGATGGCAAGTATAATTTTAAGGATCAATAAACTGACAACACAAGGAGAGTTATTCAAGTGACATGAATTATTTGCCTGGTTAAGACAACAAATCTGTGGTGACTGTGTCTGAAGTTAAAGCAAATAATCTATAAATCCTAAATGTCTCCCCATCAATCAAGTTTGAGGGTTGTCTTTGTGACGGATTTTGTCCCCCCCTTTTTTCTGTCTATTTCCTGGTTTTTAGCTAAAGGAGGTGGGAACATAACTGGGCTGAAGGTAAGAGAGCATCAGAATAGATACTACACAATTCCCCTTTACTTTCTGTAAAGACAGACGATCTAGGCACCGCTCCAAAGAAATGCTATGTTCAAATATAATTAGTATTGGCTGGTACCCCAACATACTATTTGGTTTGGACATCAGAATTCCAGGATGTACTTGGTAGGACGGGGCAGATATTTCCCCTCAATGTAAAGGTCAAATCATGTCTAGTCACATGAATATGGACCATGTTTCTTCATTCTGAAATAAAACCAGACTTCACAGAGCTGAGAAAGCTCACATAGGAAGCGAGATAACATATGTGGAAGCCCCTAGTTTACTGTCCAGTATGTAATATGTACTAAACACAAAGAAAAATATATTGACTTGAATAATAAATTTAACATTTAAAAGCTGATAAATATATTCTATTATTTTCTACTTTCAAAATGTTATCTATAATCCGCTTTTGAGCATCAAGTATCAATTATTCTCTGTAAAATTCTTCCTATCATCTTGTATGATTCTAGGAGACGTTTCCTCCACCCCATTCCCGTCCCTCTCACCTGTATTATGTCTGTGAAGAGGCATAATGGTTAAGAACCAAATCTTATGTGTGAAAAGTAATAATAACAATAATTTCTACCTTACATGATTATTGAATGAATTAAATGAGTAAATACATGTAAAACACTTAGAATATCACAGGCATGTTAGCTATTATTGAATATATTAGTTTAGTTGTATCTGAAAACTGGATTTGAGGTATGTTGTCTGAATTTACATAATGAAAACTTTAAGTTAAGCAAAAATAACTCAGAAACAAATTTTAATACAAAAATCCCAAAATATAATGCCTTGGCATATCAGTTAACTGGAGAGTTATTCACATATTTGGAATTTTTGTTCCTGCTCCATAAACATGGATAAAAGAGAAGGTTAAGATTGATCAAAAAAGATGATTAAAAATGTTATCATTAATTTTAATTCACTGTATGTACTCAAACCTGCATTAAACAAACATAAAAACCATTCTAATTCATTTCAAATTTAAAAAAAACATTGCCGAGTATTAGTCACATTTCAGGTAAAGTATTTCCTTTTAATACAATGCCATGCTAGCCTTTGATTGAATACCAATATTAGAAAGTAGTTGTGTAAGCTCTATCTTATAATGTCTGTGGTAAATTTAAAGATCTTTCTTACATCTAAGGTATAGCAACTGAAATTGAATTATTAATATCTATAAATTTTCTTTCCTAAAATTAATAGTGCTCAAGGTAATAAATTTAAATAAAAGAGCAGTTTTAAAAAGAGTGGATTGTGGTAGCAGTAATTTAAATTTCACAGGAGCTCGTTTTAGGATCAAAAGGAACTTAGAAATCATCTAGGTCACCCCCCACATTTTATAAAGAAACTGAGTCCCCCGCATGCTATCATACTGATAAGGCCAAGACCACAACCTAGGTCTCCTGGCTCCCAGTCAAATAAATGTCCCTTCAAGGTTTTTCACATCAAATTTAACCAATTCATATTAAATGAAAACCATTTGTGTGCCAAATAATTAATTTAAAAGAATTATTGTTAACACACACACACAGAACTGCATTCATTCAAGTGAGCACCACAGCAGTTTACCAACTTCTTATGATATTTTCAAAACCCAATTATGAATTTCTTATTATAAAGATTTTTTTCAAATCTCTTATTTTTATTGTGACTTTCAAATTACCCCAATGCTAAAGTGTATGTGTACACTCTCCCTCCCTCCCTCCCCCCACCTGTCTATTCAATCTCTCTAAAAAAATTGTAAAGATGGTGAGCAGAAATCAGCAATTCACTTTCCAATCCTACCATATTTGAGACAGGTATATCGACTCCTTTTTTCCATCCACAGCATAACCAACAATAATTCTAAGGGATGAGTTGGTTTCTAATATATTTTAGTATCAGTCTTAGTCTATTTAATTATTTCAGAAATCTCTTAATAGAAACCATCTGATCGAAAAGATTTCACTTGTTAAACACATTCCATTAACCCCATAAAAATACTAATCATATGCATACATGGATAGTTTACTCATTTTCTGAAATTTTTATTTTTCCCAAAGCAAGCCTTTATCAAAGCCAATAAAATGAGACTGGAAAATAAACCATGAGGTCAGTCCATCAGTGTCTAGTAGCAAAATAAAAAAGAATAGTATATTCAGTATCCAATTATTAATCCAGTTAAAATGTATGAAATGCCATCTTAGATATTTTTAAACTAGCAATAATATATGAGTAATCCATAAAAGTTACCTTTGTATGAAATTTCCCTTAAATTTACGTTCAAAGAAATATCAAAAGCAACTTTTTAAATACAGACTTCATGGGATTGCCGGCCTTTTACCTGACCACGGAAACACGACCATCACTCTCTTCAGTTTGAGTGAAATCCCTTTCTAAAAACAGAAGTCAACAGCTTTTTGATACTGAGGCAAAAAATTATTTAAAAAAAAATCTAAAACTAAATTTAACCAAATATTTTAAGATACATCCTAACCATTATACTTGAATCCTTGGGGGGGGGGGGGTATTTAATTCCTTGGAATGTCAGTGTTTTCTTAGCAAACTTCCCCCACCACTAAATAAACTATTAATTAAAACAGATAATTCTGCTTGTACTCTGTTTTAGCCCTTGCAGAAAGATCTCTAAAATAACCCTCCAGCTATATAGCACATGTATATGTGTATACATGTACGTATACAGATACATGTTTAATTCTTGCTTTTTTTAACCTAGTTTGTATTCCTATGGGCTGTGTGCTCTTGGACAAGTTATTATATCTTTCTGATACTCAATTTTCTCATCTGTAAAATGGGATAATAACTGAGATTACCTTGTAGGGTTGCTGTGAGGACTGATTCAATGCTAGCTTATTATCTCCTATAAATTTCCTAAACACATATAAATGATCATATCCCCAAAGTACACAAATTTAGTGGGGCACCTAATGTTCCGTTAACTATGAAATTCCCTTTACCTCGTATCTATTAGCTAGACTGGTTGCTCATTAATTCAAAAACATCAAACAATGTGACTTGCAGAATAAAGATACACTGCTGGCAGGAAAGACAAGTGATCTTGGCCTGGATCTATTTTTAGGCATGGTTTAATTATCTACACCCCTAGTGTTAACACTGGAAAATAAACAAATGGGTGAAAGGCATCATAAAAGAGTCACTTTGAGATCTACAGTTTCCTCGTATTCAGAAATAAATGGGCATGAAGAAGAGACTTAGATCATTTCTCCAGCAGTCCTTGCTGGCACCAGGCAGGCCAGAAATTGCAGAAAGAGGTTTAAAGGGAAATTAATGAGTTCAGACTGCTCAGACTGCCTGGTTTAGAGAGCTTCCAGGTGTAAAATGTAAGCAGTGAGAAAAACTACAATTTAAGGGTTGGTTTTCAGTGACTCACTACCTTACAGTGGAAAAAAATTAATTTGGGGGGTTATATAGTTACTGCATAAGGGTAGAAAATGCTCATCAGTTTCCAGAGTAAGATATATTTATATCTCTATATTATTTACTCTTATGTAAATAAGTAGGGAAAAACCCAACCCTGATTCTCTTGTCAGGCTAGAAAGGTATTATAGTTAATAATTACGACATCACTAGCTAGCTACCTGGTATTAATTATGCCAAGTCATCCAATTATCTATGGGAAGATTACAATGAGAAATTTACCAAAGAAACACAGCTGAATATTTTGTTCCAAGTTACACTCACTCCTCTCCTGCCAAACAACGTCTGGTAACCTATTCTAAGAGCTCTGATATGAACATGGACAATTCAGACTCTCTCAGTGAGATACACACCATGCCATTTCCTTATTCATCTTAATCTACTAGTGGAACACAATCTTACCGGAAAAGGAAAAATGTTGTCAGCCCTGTTCAAGCTATCTTCCATCCAGGACTTGGGAGCAAAGGCAGAGCTGGGGCGAGCGTACTTCTGGAGCTGAATATGATTGCTTGCGAAATTTTTCTTCAAAGGCGAGATGGAGTTCAGGGGCGTTATTCCTCCATTCAGCCCTCGGCGGTGATCGCGGCCTTGAGAACCTCCCCAGCCACCATATCCGCCACCTCCTGGGCTCCAGGAAGAAGAGGGTGTAGGAGAAGGGCTCTGGTAGCTGCTCCATGGAGAGGGGGGTTTGTTAAGATTATTCGCCAAATGAGGCAGCTGGTTAAAAGCAGCATTTCTATGTGTGAAAGGTGGGGGGTGGGGACTGGCAGGAGACCTCCTTTGCTGCTGATGCTGGCTGTGATGATGCTGGAAGTGAGGATGATGAGGGTGGTGCTGTGAGAGAGGCCCGATCTGAGCGGAGAAGCTGCCTCCGAAGCCAGGGCTGACATGATGGGGAAAATTTTGAAACAACAGAGCACCGTTATTAGCCGAAGCAGTTGGGACCCCTCCCTGGTGAAAGAAACTGGCATCTTCGTTGATGATTGTAGAGGACGAAGGGGCGATGGCTGCTGACCAGTTACTGAAACCAGTAAGAGACGATGCACTGGACGTCAAGGGCTGGGTGGAAGTGCCTAGCCCTGCAGCTTCTTGGTAATCAAACCCTGTCAACACTGGCGATTCGATTCTGATTTTCTCCTTCCCGTTGCCATTTTCTGAAGAATTGTCCCCTTGATTCTCTTCAGATTTTGCCTTCTCAGTTTCAGGCAGTATTCCAGCTTCCTGACCTGGACTGGGGGAGAGCTGCTGCTTTTCCAAAGGGTCTTGCTGTTCCTGTTGCTGACTTTTTGCCTTTTCTGACCCCAAGATCTCATCCTGAATGTTGTGGGTAGCTGGAGCAGGGAAGAGCCAAGCTGACCCGGCACTGCTGCCGTTGGCAGCTGTGTTATTATTGATAAAAGCAGCAGGACTGGGGGTGGCATTTTGGTGATGGTGTGGAGGCTGCAGATGTGGGTGGAATCGGACTGGAAAAGCAGATTTATTCCCAGTATTGCTTTGCACTAGCACTCCAAACCCGTAATCCCCCATTTATTATTTTTAGGAGCAGAATCTTACGTCGAAAAAAATGACAACCTGATGTCTCACGCCTTTGTATCCTCTACCCAAAATGTGTTTGTTTAAAATGTCTTATTTATAGCTAGCCCGAAGATTTCAGCTTATCACCCTAAATACTTCTGATTAGGAATTCTGGTCTCTGAAAGAAAAACAAAACAAAACAAAAAACCACAAAAAAAACTAAAAAAAAAAACACACCCCCAAATCTCTTAAAACATTGACATGAATCCAACTGGGCTTATTTCTGGGAGGGAATAAAAACGAAGAGGGTAAAAATCAAGTCTTTGGTTAGTAAAATAGGCGCTTTCTTTTTCCAAAGGAAAATGCACATGAATGACAAAAACACAGCTTCTCAAGCATCTATGGATGTAGAAGAATAAGCATTGCGCGGAGTAAAAAATATATATATATATATGTATGTATATATATAATTTAACAATCACATATGGTCTTCCTCAGCAGTTTAGATTCACTCACATAAAAATTAGAGTAGGGCTAAAGGGGCGTGGGGGGGGGGGGGGGAGAATACGTTCTTTTCTTGGCAGCTCGGTTAAAAAAAAAATCAGGAATAATTTAAGAACATTATATATTATATATTTATATAGATAGATTATATTAGGTTCTCTGGGGCGGGCGTGGGTCCCGGCTGCGGGAGAGGAGATCAGCACTGACTAATGGAAAGATGATCGCAGGGAGGTCTCGGCTGCTCCCGGTCCTGTTTCTGCTCTTTCACGGGGTGCAGTTTGGGCCTCCGGGGCTGTTCCTGAGGCTCCGGGTGCGGGTCTTGCTGCGGTCGCGGTGCTGGGGCTCCCCTCGGCTTCCTCTCCCCCATGAAATGGGTTGGAAACACCCGTTTCTCCCGCTCAGGGGGTCGCGATCAGGAGGGATCAGCGAGACTGGACGAGGGCGAGCCGGCGGCCCGGGGGTGCGGGGACCCAGGGGGCGACCTGGAAGGTCCTGCGGTTTCGGCCTCTTCCCCTCTCTGCGGCTCCGGGGTGTTGCTCCCTCATGGGACCCAGGGGCGGTTGGTTCAGTTCTCTGTTCGATTCTCCGCAGGGGGAAAGAGGGGAAAAAGGAAAAACCCACTAGTGCAGTTCTCCTAAAGGAGAAGGGCCTCCCCCCTCGGCTCGCTCTCTTTTTTCCCCCAAGATTTTTTTTTTTTTTTTTAACTATAATTTAGAAGGCTTTTGTTTCTCCTCACGGTTGCTGGGCCGTCGCCGCCGCCGCCGCCGTACCCCGGTCCCGCAGTCCCCGCTGTCGTCGGTGCGGACTCCGCCGGGCTCTTCTTCTTCTCGCCTTCTTCCTCCTCTTCCTCCTCTGCTGTCGCCGCTGGCGCCGCCGCCGCCGCCGCCACCGCCTCCCGGTGCCCGGGTCCCGCAGCCGCGGCTGAGTCCTTCTCCTCAGGACCCAGCCGAGTGAAATGACAACCAGCTGGAAAGACCGAGAGACACTTCCGGTTCGAAGAGGGAGGGGTGGGGTGCCGCGGACACCGCGCCCACCTGCTCAGAGACCAATCGGGTGTTAGAAGTCAGCCGAGGCCACGCCCCTCCACGGAGATCCCCTCCCAGGAAGGTCGACAAGTTACCTCGGGAGACGCCCCTTCCGTCTGCGCCTCGCCCAGTGAGGCCGGCTGCCTGGAACCCGCTGCCCTGCGCAGGCTGAGCGCCGCGGGTCGCCATCTTTAGTGTGGGCAGCGGCCGCCTTCGCTGTTTACCTCTCCCAACCACTCTTTGCGGGAGGGGTAGGTAGGGACGCGCACAAGAGAGCACACTCCTGGAGCGCCACGGGAAAGAGTCGAGGTGTTGAGGATCGGCGGGGCGAGCCCTGAAAACGCAGTTGAACGGGAGGACTGCCCACAGTAAAGGTGGCTCCCCAGGCGTCACGTGCTTTGCCCGAGCTCCGCCCCAGAGGGAGCCTGTCCAGCAGCTGTGTGGTGCCTGGAACTGCGTAGGTCCCTGTCCTGCCTGGAGCCCTCGCGCGGGGCTCTCCCCTCCCCGTACAGCCCCCGCCCCCCTGCACCCCTCCCCCAGCTCGGCCTAGGTCTGGTGCAGCCTCTCCGTCACGAAGGTGCCGCTGCCGTGGGCGCCCAGGGCCGAGCAGTCCTCTCCGTCCCGTTCTGGCCCACCTTCCGCGCTGTAGCAGAGGGGCGTTTTCAGAACGAAACCCTTGTGGTCCTCACCTGCTCAGATCTCCTCCAGGGCGCCCAGTACCCCGCCCCCGTTCGGTATTTGAGGCCTTCCCCATTCTGTGGGCTGCAGATCTTAACACCTCACCCCCGTCCGCACGCCCCACCACCCAAGCTGCTTCAAAAGCATGCTCGGTGCTTTTTACCTCCCCTTCCTCTCTTCTCCGCCGGGCAAACCCTGATTTCGTTTTAGGAATCGGTTCCAGCGCCACCCCACTCGGTCTTCCCTCCCAGCATCCATGGCCCTGTGCGCATCTCATGCTCGCTGAGGACGACGCGGTGTGATGACTGCTTTTGTCTGCGGGATCTGTGCACGACTGAGCCCCTGGAGGACGGGACCTTTTAGTAGGAGGCATCAGTGAATGGAGGCTGAAGAGGTGAAGGAACAGACCTGCAAGGATGAAGTCTTTCCCGAATGACAGGCCCCTTTCCAGATCTGAATGACTTCATTTCTTCTGCTGTTTGGTTTGGAGCGCACCTCTCTCAAGCTTTCTCGTTTCGCTTATTCGCTTGCTGCTCAAGGGTAGGCCTTGTCCACCTTTATACGTTCCCACCACTACAACCACCACCGGGGCGTAGGTTGATGCCTTGCTCTTGGCGCGAGCTCTCAAGATGTTGAATAAGGGAGGGTTTTCCTTTAGTAGGAAATTTCAAAAGAAAAGAAAGCAGAGTCAAGCCACAGTGACTATGGCAAGAGTAGGGAAAAGAGAGAGATCAAAGACCTTGAAGAAGGCTCTTATAAACCAAGGTGGCTCCTACTTCATTTCTGTAGCCTTCCCTCAATGGCCCCAACTTCTGCTGCCTGTTTTTCAGCCCTTCAACACTTCTTATAGAACACCTGTTTAGAGCCTCAGTGATTATATCCTCTTTCATTGTCACAAGCATGAATCTTATCCCCGCAACCCTACTGCTAGTACCTGGAACGTAGGGATTGGGTCTTACTCTCTGCTGTTTATTCCCCACAAGTGGACATACCTTGAGACTTTACTGGCTTAGTTAGGTGTCATTTCCTCCAGACTGGTTCCCTGACTGCCCCTCTCCTAGTATGTTATAGCCCCGCACCCCTTTAATTACTGCTCGTTGTCAGTGGGTTAGTTTCTTGAGGGCAGAGGTTGTGTCTGATTTACCTTTGTGTCTTCGGTAGCCGGCAGAAGGTCTGGCATAGAGCAGATTCAGGACATGCTTATTAAATGAACGAAGGAATGTTCAGTATCCAGAAGATGGTTGAGAGTCTTTTTAGGAGCTACCAATTCTCAGTGGCTAAAATGGCAGCCATTGCTTGGAGCAAAGAGGACTCACTATCTTTAGAATCTACCAACCTGAATTTGAATCCCAGCTCTGCCACTTCCTGTTGTACAGCCCCAGGCATCACCTCTACAAGCCCCTGGTCCCTCACAGATAAAATGTGCATGATGTTTTCTCCTGCAGTAGCTTGGTAAGTTACATGAGATACATGTGAAGTGCTGGGCGCATAGGTTTTCAAAGTGTTAGTTCCTTATTCCTATATTAAACGCAGAGAACTGCTTCACAGATGTCTCTTGCCTAGAAGCAGCTGCATGCATGAGTGAATCCAGGAACCTGTGTTGGTTTTAGAGGGAGGAGGCAGCCCGGAGCCACAGTCAGGGTGCTGCTAGGTCAGCCTGATCTTCTAAGGTTGTAACAAGCGTGGGCTGTAGTGCTGGGCTGGGCTGAAGTTAGAATGATCAATGTAGATACCAGGCTTGGTTAGGGACTAGGAGAATGGGAGAGGGAGGGGGAAGCAATTCTCTTGGTGCAGTTGCCTACTCAGAAACCCAGGATACCCAGCTCAGGGCTGCCCTCCTTGAAAACATTCTGGCCTCAGAAACTATCCCAGGTAACCATGACAACAATTCAGCAGCTCCATTTAGGATCTCCAAAGGGATCTAGTGTTGCTGGCTTGAACACTCTCCTGGCCCCTCCCATGAAGCATGCTCACTGGGAAGCTTTTGGGTTGCACAGAAAGCAACCTCTGCCCCAACATTAAGTAAGGTGCTACTAGATTTTCAAAATGGAAAAAACAAAACCAGACCTCCCTCTTGTCCAGCAAGGGCTGACACACCTTCAGAGAACTTGTAGGTCGGTGAATGCATGTCCCCTGCTGGCCACTGCCCAGCCCCCTCTGGGGTTTGAGGTCAACCACACCCCAAACTCAGAGCCTCCCAGGAAGCAAGGCCCTAATATCTCCTTCACTAGCCTCTCTAGGCTTGGCAGGTGATATAAATCTCACCCCATGATCCCACAGAGTGAACTCTGCCCCACTCCAGCTCTGATGTCCTCCAGCGCTGCCCTTGCTGTCGTCAGCCTCTTCCCAAATGCACACACCCAAGCTCTCCAGGGCCCATCTGATGACTTGAGCAGTCAGGGCCACCACCCAAGGCCTCCCCGGTTGCACACTGTGCAGTCCCATAAGGCACCAAAGACTCTATGATGGGAATGCCACCCTCTGGAGTTGCAAGTGCACCAGTTCTGCTTTCGTTCATTTCCATGGGACAAAGGCACACTGTGGAACTAGGACACCCATAACAAAGAGCCACCAGATACTAACATAGATGACATGAGCACATGCTCATCGCATGCAAAGATATTGAAAGCACTGGATCCTTTTTGAGTTGGTGGCCCAGGAAGGAGCTTTCTGTAAGAGAACTAACTGAAGGACCCAGTGCCCTTGGTGTTGTTTTGGGTAGTGAGCGTAGTGAGAAGACAAGTCTGGGCAGGTATGTGGTCCAGCCCCCTAAGAGATTAATACTCAGCAGCATTTGCCTGGCAGTGTGAATAAGCCTTCTAATGTAGTGGTGGGATATAGGTTTTAATGAAACTAAAAAAAAATGCAATGATAATGTTCAAAGGCAGGTTCTATGGAGGTAGGGAAGAGAGAAGCGTGGAATTACTTTGGGGATAGGACCTGGGGACAGGATCTGTCCTCACTACCAGGACAGAAACAAAACCAA